TTCATGTACGACACTGCTATATAATTCATGTACGACACTACTAAATAATTCGTGTACGACACTACTAAACAATTTATTGCTAACAAATATTTTTGGTACGAAACTACGAAGATGCCAACACAGCGTTGCCCACGTGCATAGGAACGCACCCGGGTGAGGTTTTAGGTTTTAGGGGTTTTGCGTTTTAAGGTTGGTGAACAATGAACTATACACACACACGCACGGAAGTATCTCTATACTTAAACAGCACGACGGTATATCGTAGCCATAGCCATAGCTAAACACAAGCACACTACACACCCTTGCGTTCAAAGTCGCGTCTTTGTCGAAATCGTATCGCGCGGTTGCCTTGTCATGCGACACACCGACGAGATGCCACCCCGAGAGGTCCACCACTTCTTCCGTCTGGTTCTCAAGCAACACCTTAGTACCCTGCAACGCATAATTGATGGAATGAGAGGATAGACAAGACACGGATAGGTGCATGTACATGAGTGTGTGTATGTGCATGTGTATGTGTAATTACATGCACGTGGTTGTTTGACATGTTTGGTGTGACACGTGCTGACGTGCGCACGTGGTGTGTCGGTGAGATGGTCATGAACAAATCCGCGCCAGCTAATAGAGTATATGTATTACTTGGTTGCGTCTACCTCTGCGTCTAAGTCCAGATAAGGACAACTACAAACGTACAAACCCTTAAACCCCTAATATAAACTACAACCAGAATTATACACACAAACAACAAACATATCCATATACGCAAAAGAACCAACAGACGAACAGCAACGCAAATAAACCAGACCCTTCTACACACACTCTACATACACCCACCAGCAGAAAACAAAACAAACCCTTCTATACACACACATACACACACCAGCAGAAGATAAACCAGACCCTTCTATACACACACATATACACACACCAGTAGAAATAAAACAGACCCTTCTATACACACACACATACACCCTACATACACACACCAGCAGAAATAAAATAGACCCTTCTACACACACACACATAACACACCAGCAAAATAAACAACCTTTCTACACACACATATATATACACACTACATACACACACCAGCAGACAACAAAACAGACCCTTCTATACATACACACACACACACACTACATACACACACCAGCAGAAGATAAACAGACCCTTCTATACACACACATATACACACTACATACACACACCAGCAGAAATAAACAGACCTTTCTACACACACACTTCATACACACACCAGCAGAAAATAAACTAGACCCTTCTACACACACACAGATACACACTACATACACCCACCAGCAGAAAACAAAACAGACCCTTCTACACACATATATATACACACTACATATACACACCAACAGAAAACAAAACAGACCCTTTTATACACACACACAGATATACGCTACATACACCCACCAGCAATTCACACACGACTGATCGGTGACCTCACACCCCCCCAAGACACACGCATGCTGCATAACCATACCATGCGCACACACTCTCACTCCTATGTACACACATCCCCAACACACACGCATACTGCATAACCATGCCATGCACACACACTCACACTCCTATGTACACACATCCCCAACACACACGCATGCTGCATAACCATGCCATGCACACACACTCACACTCGTATATCCACACACACCCCCAACACACACGCATGCTGCTTAACCATGCTAGGCCCACACACTCACACTCGTATATCCACACACACCCCCAACACACACGCATGCTGCTTAACCATGCTAGGCCCACACACTCACACTCGTATATCCACCCACCTTGGGGTCGACTTCCTTAAGCGACACCACACCCGTGATAGTCACATGGAACGAGTCTTCGTTCTCCACGCGCGGGCGTTTGTTTGTTGGCTGCAGGAAACTGGCGTCTAACTCGGCATCAGACCCATCGTGCTTGCGTTTGAAGCCGTTAGAGGCATAGTCAAGCAGCCTGGCGTACTCCTCAATGGTCTTCTCCAGCTTATCCTGCACGGCCACGACGCCGGATCTGTAACCTTCGACTGCGGGGCGTGGGGAGATGAGAATGAGCAATGTGTATTGAGAAGTAGAACATGTATATATTTATGTGTATTGAAATAAAAATATAATTGTATATATGTATACGAATATACGTATATATAGGGCCAAGTATAAACAAAAACCAATAAGTATATATATATATATATATATACATATATACATATATATATACATACATACATACATATTAATATACAAATATATACACATATATTAACATATACATGTACATATACGTATAAATACATATATGTATATATATATACATATATACATGCATATATATATATTGTCGAGATAAACAAGACTTACCCTCCTGATACTTGGCTTCCTCATCCTGTATCTTCTTCGCACATTCCTCCTTCGTATCGTTATAAACGATGCGCAATTGCGCGAGTTTGGCCCTGCGTTTTTCCAACTGAGCCGCCAAATCCAGCACAGTCTCATTCGACTCCAATAGGGCTTGTTGCTGACGTGTGCATGTATATAAGTGTATAAATGTGTGAGTTTATATAGATAATAAAGGGTTGTGTGTATAGAAGTGTGTTAAGTGTATTATTAAAATTCATATGTATATTAATGTGCAAGTGTATATAGATAATAAATGGTTATATGTAAAGAAGTGTGTTAAGAAAAATAAAAAATTTCATATGCATATAAATGTGTAAGTGCATATATATAAAAAGTGTATTTATTATATATGGATGTGCAAGTGTATATAGATACAAAAATGTATTTTAAGTATGTAAATGTACAAATGTGTATAGATATTATAAATAACTGCTTGTACTTTTGATATTAGAGGTTCTGATGTGTATAAATGAACAAGTGTTTCAGAGAAGATACATAGCTACACATGCTTGCACCAGTCAAGAAACAAATGTGAAAAAGTATGCACAAGTGTACACGAAATGTACATAAAGATATGCATACTTGCACCAGCTTGAGAGCGCTTGTATACATATGTATGTGTACATGTAATGTATATACAAACATACAAATATGTTTATATATACATAAATTTATA